TTAAATTATGTGAATTAGTGTAATATTTAGCTAGAGCAAACAACTGTAAGCCAGGATTTCTGCGTTATACTTATTTCTGCACCTGATTCACAGTATGATATCGAACAACACATTTAATCTCAGTGATGTGCACTGTATAACTTATAACAAGGTTTTTCCACAGATAAGTTCTCTTGCTCCTTAGCTTGGTGATATCCTTTTGCCTGCTACAGGACCTTTATGAGTTTGCATAAAAAAGAAAAATGAGGGATCGGGTGAGGTACTCTTCTATTTTGTCATAAATATAACCAAACAGTAAAGTAACAGGCTGTCTGTCTCTTATCAAGTGCCTTTCACTATAAATATTTGAACTTCCTTTCACAGAAATACTGGTACTAAGGTTACAGTTGCAATCACTGAAGTTAAGTGATATGGACAGCAGTTCTACTACTGGAGCATAAACTTACTGATAATGTAACATGCACAATTTCTATAGTTTTGAAGTAAAACTGCAGACTGTGTGGGAAGATTTATTATAGGGCTTAAGGAACACTGTTCCAAGGAACATTTTCTAAAAATGGCTGTTATGTCATGCCAACTAATGCATTTCAGAGGTAAAAATGTACATTTCATAAGTGGTTTGTTTTTTTTCAGCTTCAGTGATAACATTTTTGGGCATGGCTGATATAACTGTCCCTTAAAAGAAATTCCCTCCCCTAACCTTTCAGTCTGATGACAGATGGGCCTAAAGATCTCTGAGAACACCCCCCACTCCCGCGACAGACTTCTAGTCTTATCATTCTGTACCTCAGTTTACCCATCTGTAATATTGGCAAGTTATTATCTATTTAACAGGAAATTGGTGGGGCTTAATTTCCTGATTAAGAGTGAATAATTACAGTGGTGATATGTTGATTCTTTGTGTGATATATTTATTGTAAGGCTTTTCATAATTTGTTAATAAATGTTCACACAGGCACTTTTTAAAAATTCAAATACATTAATTGATAATTTATAAAATACCTTAAGAAATTTGGAAAACACTCAGTAGGATACAAAGGCTACAAAGTTAGATTTTAAGTTAGAACTTCAAAGACTTTGTAATTACAGAAAATTTGTCAAAGAGTCCTCCAGACTGTGTAGCTTGTCTTGTACTCTTTTTCCTTTTTTCTATTACAGTGGAACGATTTAGAAATACTATGAAAATTCAGTTTAGATGGAATGGGCCCACAAACACTTTTTTTGTAATTCAAGTTGCAAGATTTTACATATAACCAGTAAAGACTCTTCCCTACATTTTCAAAATATATTGTGGAGATTAAGCAATGCATCAGGACTGTGTAGTTTTGCTAACAGGTTAGGCAATGGATTTGTATATGATAGTTTGGATAGGGATGATCCTGCCTCATGAAAAGGGATGGATTAGATGGCCTCTGGAGATCCCTCCAAGCCCTGTTTTCCTATGATTCTCTGATCTTCCATTGATTTGATAGGAATTGTATCAATGAAGTCTCATTCAAAACTTTGAAAATTCTGAAGTCAGGACTTGAAGTGGGACTTGAATGAGCCATAATATTATTCCAACAGTTCTCTGGTGGGCCTTCAGGAAAACATAGGTTTTAGTATAAAGGAAATAAGTCCCTGTCCTTACAGCTGAAACTATTCAAATTTGACCCTTAGCAGCATTCCTTTGCTGAATCTATATCTTCTGACATAAATAAGTGAGAGGTAGATTGATCTATTTCAGTAAGGTGTTAACACTGAAGCCTAATCATGCTGATATAAATGGCAACTTTATTAACTACTATGCTGCTGATAATGTTAAAAAATGCTCTGTTAATATGTGCATTCCTAGTGTGATTAGATAATATGGAAGTTAAAATGGGAAACATTTATGAATCATCTACCTGATCCCATAAAACAGGAGTGTCAAAGATGCAGTCAGATCTAGCCCATGGAGCCCTATCATCTGGCCTCTGGGAAAAAGGAAAGATGAAAATGGCCCAAACAATCTAATCTGGGGCTGAGTGCAGTTCCGGTTCTCTGGAAATGTACCAGCTTGCTAACTGAACCATTTAAGTTAACCAGTTCATTTATCTCAAATGAACAATAAATTAGAATCAGTAGATGACAGTCTAAGCTGATATAATCAGTAAAATCTTTCTTCTTCTTTCTTTAATAGATGTTACACTGAAAGAATAGATCTGTTTTTACACATGGAAGGGATCCTATATGCAAATCTAGGCCTTTCCATATTCCGTTATATCAGTGATTCTCAACCTTTTTAGTCTCCAGCCTCCATAACTTTTATAAACTGAGCAGCACCCTGTTTCAAAAACTAAAGTATTTATTATAGTGCTCACCTCCTCACACATGAGCTGGACCATGGCGAAAGGGGGAGAGGAGTAGCAGGATGGGGACAAGCATGTGGCTACCTCCTTGCAGAGGAGCAGGGGAGTGAGGATGCAGAGCAGTCATGCAGGGATGAGCCTGAACCTGCACTTACCTCTTCCCATCTTGTGGCACGCCATGGGGCCAGGGAACCCACTTGAGAGTTGCTGTGTTACATGATCCCCTCCTGGGGAGCTCATCTATCAGATGCTCATCTATCAGATCTCTCCCAGTCCCAAAAACCTCTGTTACATAAGTATAAAACATACAGACAATGTTGCTTCCTTGCCACACAGCCTTTGACTGTTTCCTTTGAGCATTGTGAGAGCTCAAAGAGCTTTCTGTTGCATTTTCTCCCAAAGGAAACCACTTTCTTCCTTGACTCCTCCCTACTTGGCTTCTGTCACACCCTCTTTATGTTTTTGGAACTTGGATAATTCATAGAGAGAAAAGCAGGAAAAAAAGCCTTTCAGTATGCCCTTTTTCTAGGAGACAGGGCATTTTGTTCCATCCTGTACTGTATGAGGGGAGGGAAGTAGCTGGCCCTAAATAAAGATAACAGTTTGAATCCTTAAGTAAATGAGTACTGCTACATCCACTAAATCAGGAGTGGGCAAAATAGGGACCACAGGCTGGATCCAGCCCACCAGGGACTTTCATCCAGCCCACGGCACACTCCTCACACCCCCCACATCAAATTGTGCCCCACCCAGCCCTTCTGCCCACAAGGGTGGGTGCGAGGTGCCTACACCTGCCCCCAACATATCCTATTATACCTCACTCCCACCCTTGTGGGCCCTGCTAGCATGGGGTGGGGCTGCTGCTGCAGGCTTCCCAGGAATCCCACTCCCCCCGGGCAGCAGGTAGGGAAGGGGGCAGGGGCAAGGCTGCAGCTGGGCAGGAGCGTGGGACTAGTGCTGGGGTTGACTACAGTGTGGAGCCTATACCCAGGGTGTGGGGGCAGCACAGAGCTTGAGTGGGCAGGGTGTAGGTGTGGCAGAAAGCCACCTTGGTTTCTCCCCAAAAAT